CCTCCTGCCACCCTCTCGCCAGCTTCCCTCATCTGACAGCTCAGGTCGCGCTGCTTTGTCGGTGCCTGATGCCTGTCTCAGCCCATCAGCCAGCTTTTCCACGTCCCCGGAAGTGTAAACATTGAGAACAGAATCCCTCCTTTTCTTAGACCGGGAACATGGCGCCCCCTGCTGGAATGTCCCTTCTGGCCCCTAGGATTTCAAGGCCCCGAAGAGGGAACCACCACGAAAGAAAGACACAGGAAAATAGATAGATAGATAGATAGATAGATAGATAGATAGATAGATAGATAGATAGATAGATAGATAGATAGATAGATAGATAGATAGATAAATGGTGGGGAGGCCTGGAAAAACCAAGAGTGAAAAGCAAAGGGCAGAATTGGAAGGCTGACATTCCCTAAGGTTAGAGAAGATTGGTTGGAATTCGGAGACGGTTCTTCTCTGAGGGGCTGGAGGCAAAGGAAACCATGACACCTAGTGATTCTTACACTCTCCAAAGTGTGCTATGCCTCCCGGCCACTGCTACAGCCCCTAGCACAAACTCTTTGGATCCCTTCTCCCAGCCCCCAGCTTCTCTTAGAGAAACTAAAGTTAGCGGGGCTGCCAAGAGACGCAGGCAAGATAAGTACAGGGTTTGGGGAACATGATATGGAAAGGGGCAATAATTACACAGTAAGGTCCTCTTGGGGACTGCAGGGTTGTGGCCAGCGGCTTTGGAAGGGTCCACTCCTATAGCAAACTACCCCAGCCACAAAGAGCCTCCCTGCATCCCCAGAGGCACATACTAGAAGGGAAAGAGAGTCGACAGTTAGGGACGCCCTCTCCCCTGAACTACAATTCAATCATCCCATCCCTCCTCACCCACCCCCAAAAACGCCAAGGAATAAAGTCGTTAACCCCGAAGGTGAGGCCTTGGGAGCAAAAAGTGAGAGGAGATTGGAGCAGGGAACCCCGTCTATCACCGTGACCTGGCCCTGCCTAACCTCAGAAGCTAAACAGGGTAGGACCTTGGGGAAATTCTCTGCGAGGTGGGATGGCTGGGAAACAGAACGGTCCCCGCCTTCGTGGCAGCACCTTCGAGCACAGGCTCGGCCTCCAACACTGGCCACTGGCGACAGAATCCTTGTTTTTAAGGTTGTTAGCAGACCGCATACCCTAGAAAGCACTTCGGTCCCTCTGCCAGGTCCTGCCCCTTGGTTCAGCGAAGCTGCGGTCCCTTATTCTCACCACCAGCTCACAGTCTTCAAACTTCAACACCAGCCTCATATGAACTAGTCAGAAACTTGAAGGAGGCGAACCTGAAGGACGCCAGGATTGGGCTAGGAGAGCCTGTAGTAGGAAGGCAGTTACCAGGGAGACCAGGACAGTGGGCTGGGACCCGAGCCAGGGTTGGCACTTACCGGGATAAGCAAAGGGTGGTTGGTTGGTTGGTTGGTTGGCTGGTTGGTTGGTTGGTTGGTTGGTAAAAAGATAGACTGGGCTGACCTTGACTTGTAGCGAGCGTCCCGCCTCAGCCTCTAGACTGTTCTAGTCGGGCATGCGCTTTTACCCGAGCAAGCCAAAGTCTTAATGTTCCTCTCTCTTCTAACTCCTTTCCAATACAGCAGCCAGCGCCCCTCCTTGTGACTGGGTCTGGGGGCAGCTGGAGTGCTGAAGCTCCGAAAAGAAACCTTAGAAGAATCATCCTAAGGAACCAGGCCTGAGAGAAGTCAAGGAAAGAGGTGAATCTAGGAAGCGTTGAAGAACGGACACGGCTTACGGTATTTCAAAACTTCGACTGACGGTGCTGTTCACCGGTCCAGCGGTTGCCTACCTGGGTTCGGGATTGGGGAACGTACTTTGGGACTTCAAATCCAAAGGGCAAAATATCAAAAAAACAAAAACAAACAAAAAACCCACACTGGATTGTCATTTCATATTATTCCACCAGAGGGCAGCATTGTCCACTTAATGAATGACCTGCAGTCTAGCGCCGGAGCGGAAATCTGCCTGGTTTCTGCCTCCCGGGTTATTTGGCCACAACAGCCCCTTGTGGACACAAATACACAGTTTTCTTCACACGCCACCACCCCCTGCCCAGCTCTCACCAGGTTCCCTCACTAAGGTTCATTCAACCTTTTAGTCAAAGCAGTGAAAAGGGCCCTGCTCTGTTGGGTGTCACCCAGCGAGGGTTACAAGCAGAGGAAGGGATGATGACCAACTCTATTAGAATGGTGTGTCAGACCTTCAATCCTCATAGTGTTTCATAACAGTTGTGGTAGTGTTATTCCCATCTTACAAAGAACTCTAAGATTGGAAAGATTAAAAAAAAAAAGAACTTTAAGGTGTAAAGGGGTTTAATAACTTGGGCTGGCAAGATGGCTCAGCAGGTAAAGGAGTTTGTCACCAAGCCTGAAGAACTGACTTAGATCCCAGGGACCCACATGGTGGAAAGAGAGAACTCACTCTAGAAAGTTATTGTGACTCTTGTTGCTCCTGTGTGCGCTCGAATCACACACACACACGCGCGCGCGCACACACACACACACACACATATTCAAGTTCACACAGCCAGAAAGGGAGGTTGTGTAGATACAGGCAGCCTAGCTCTAGTAGAAGCTGTTTGAAGGAAAAGCCTGCTGACCGATTTCTCAAAAATTCTCGTCCGTACTGAGACCTAAGAAAAGATTAAATCTGGCCAAGAGATTTGGTCCCTGTGTGCTAGGGACCAAGCCTTGACAGGCTAAGTGCTCACACACCACGCTGAGCTCCTGAGTTCCAGCTGAGAAGTTGTTCTGTGGAGACAGCTCACATGATAGGACTGGAACGCTACACCCGGCTGTGTAGCGGAGGTGTCTCAGGTTCTCCAGACTGGAGCAATAGCTGGTATCGCGTACCTAATGTCTGCTGCTTGGAGAAAGGGGCTGAATCTTAGCATCTCACTTGTCTTTGCCTCTTCCACTAGATGCGCCTTTGATGGGGAAGTGAGAGGTGTGTTCGCTAAAGAAACAGAAAGAGGTGACACCATTTCTGCTGTCAAGGTGTTTGCGGGGTGGTTTTTTTTTGTTGTTGTTGTTGTTGTTGTTGGCTTTTTTTTTCAGACACGGTGTCTCACTATGTTGCCTTGGCTGTCCTGGAACTCACTCTGTAGACCAGGCTGACCTCGAACTCACAGAGATCTGCCTGTCTCTGCCTCCCAAGTGCTAGGATTAAAGGCATGGGGGTCACCATGCCCAGTTTATGATATTTTATTGGGTTTTGATTCTGGAAAGGAAACCAAAAGCTTTCTTCTTGGCCTACAAATCCCAATAGTGAATTTTATACTTTTTATATTTATTTAAGTTTTTTGTGATGGGCCTTCCTACCAGAGTTTATACTTTTTTTTTTATTAGTGAACCATATGTGACATGGCAGAGGAGCAAGCCCCAAGCCCCAAACACTTTCAGTTTGCCAAGGGATCTCCAGAGACACAGGGCAAGGCTTGTCTAAGCAAAGGGCTCTCTGAGGGCTGAGGCAGGAGGATAGCTGAGTTTGAGGACAGCCTGGGATACATTTGAGATGCTGTCTCAAAGAAGAAAACGAGGATAGGGAGTGAGAGGAGTTTAGGGGAGAGGGAGAGAAAGAGAAACTGAGGTCTGGGGAAAGGTACCCAGCACTAGTGACCACCTTGAAACCCTTTTATCACTTGGCATTCTTCCTTCTTCTGTCCTGCTGTCTGGTTATGCTTGGGGTCACACCTGAAGACTAAGGCCGGTCCCTTGCAGCTCGCTGGCTCCACTAACGCATCTGCGTATAGACCTCTGTCCCACCCTGATGCCTTAAACTTCAAGCTCTTTTTCATACATGTAAAACAAAGGCATGACCGGGAATGCAGGGGTCCAGATTCCAAGCACCACTTTCAAGTCCTGTCTCATCTCTTTCCCCCATGGCTCCCACCCGTTCCAGCCCGGTCACTCCCTTTGTTCCATTAAAACCCCACTTTCACGCTCACGGCTCTCCCCGTTAGTTTTCTTCCTATCTCAGGACTTGCCATCACCTCCCCAACTTCTCCGTTTGTCCCTGACCTTTTCCTCTCCTAATTTCCTCGATCGGGATCGCTGTGATAAGTCAGCCTGATGTTTCACTTTATGGCTCCCCTAACCATCCTGGGCTACCTCAAGTAGCTGAGGCTGTTCCTACCTCCACCTCCTCCCCTTGGTGTCTCTCTCTTCGCTCCCACCACGACGGACTTGTCTCTCTTCCTCTTTCTCTCTGCACCTGCCTCAGCGAGGGCTCCCCTCAAGCTATCTCCCGGTCTCTACTTCTCCCCCACGGTAGTGAATCTCTGTCAGTTCCCTTGCCCACCTCTCCTGCCCTGTCCTGCTTGAGTTTGTAGAATTCGGTTAGGCAACCGCCCCGGTCCACCTTTGTCTCCGACTCTCTCTACTCTAACTGTCCCACTAGTTTCCCTGATGGTTTTCCGTCTTTGCTCTGGCTCTCTAAGTCTCTCCCCTCTGTGACTTCTTTTCTCTTTTGTCTCTCCCTCTTCCTTTCCTATCTGGGTCTCTTTGGATCTGCCTCTTCCCCCACCCCCAACCCCTACTCATCGCTCCGTCTGTCCCCGGTCTCTCTGACTCGGTCCCTCCCGGCCTCCCCCCTCCCCCTCATCTCTCGCTCGGTCTCTTCATCTTTCTCTGGGCCCGTGCTCGCTCGCTCTCTCTCTCTCTCTCTCTCTCTCTCTCTCTCTCTCTCTCTCTCTCTCTCTCTCACATATCAGGACTTTTCCTTGGCTCTCTCCGGCTCCCTCTCTCGCCTCGGATGACAGCGCTACCTCTTTTGTTGGCTCCGCAGCCAATCGCGGCCGCTGACGACACGGGGGCCGGGGCTATAAAGGGCCCGGCCCGGGCTTGGGCCCCCCCAGCCGCCCGCCCCGGCCGCCCGCCCGCCCCGCCCGTGCGCCCGCCGCCCCCGGCCCCCGGCCCCCCCTCGGCCGGGCAGCCCCCAATCCCGCGCCGCCCGGACCCCCTCCTCCTCCCTCTTCCCTCCGCCCCCTCCCCGCGGGACTCCGGCGTCCCCGCCCCCCAGTCCTCCTCCCCTCCCCTGCAGCATGGTGCTCGCGGCCCCGCTGCTGCTGGGCTTCCTGCTCCTCGCCCTGGAGCTGCGGCCCCGGGGGGAGGCGGCCGAGGGCCCCGCGGCGGCGGCGGCGGCAGCGGCGGCGGCGGCGGCGGCCGGGGTCGGGGGGGAGCGCTCGAGCCGGCCGGCCCCGTCCGCTGCTCCGGAGCCGGACGGCTGCCCCGTCTGCGTGTGGCGGCAGCACAGCCGCGAGCTGCGCCTGGAGAGCATCAAGTCGCAGATCCTGAGCAAACTGCGGCTCAAGGAGGCGCCCAACATCAGCCGGGAGGTGGTGAAGCAGCTGCTGCCTAAGGCTCCGCCGCTGCAGCAGATCCTGGATCTGCACGACTTTCAAGGCGACGCGCTGCAACCCGAGGACTTCTTGGAAGAGGACGAGTACCACGCTACCACGGAGACGGTCATAAGCATGGCCCAGGAGAGTAAGTGGGCTACGGGGTGCGCGCGGTGCGGTCCGATCTCGGGAAGGACCCGGAAGCCCTTTCTGCAAAAACTTGACGGATTGGGGAGCCGGGCCACTCCACACAACTTTTTCGAACAGTGAAGATGGGCAGCGGAGTTGAGTGCACGCCCCGCTGGGGGTGGGGGGTGGGGGAGTTGGCCAAACCGGGCAGGTTGTGAGATATTGCTTCCCACCCTTGTGCGGAAAAAAGAGTCAAGTTGAAGTTGTCCCAGAAACTGGCACCCAACAGTGATTCTCCTTGAAGCGCTAGGTGGATAGATTCCGTGACCAGTGCAGTCCCAGCTGGGCCGCAGTGCCATTTTCCTGTTGCTCTGGCACCGGCACCGGCACCGGCACCAGCTCCCTGCCTGGTGCTCTGTAAGGCGCCCACCAGGCTGCGGAGAACTGAGGTTCCTCTAACCCCCACAGGCATAGGACCCAAACCTGGTGTCTCTCTGATTGACATCTTTTCTTTCTGCACCTGATCTCGCGCTGGGTAGCCCCTAGGAGCTTGAAGAGCTGTTCCTTCCTGGTACAGAAAGAGTTCGAACAACTCCACTCCACTGCGCTTGCGACTTAACGAGTATCGTTTGGTTACTCTCACCTTAGTATTCTGTCCCTTATTCCCCGTCCTACCCACAGCTGGAGCCAGAGAAGACCCTGGGAGAAAGAACTAGATGAGGGGGATGGGAGAACCCAGGCATCCGAGCCTCTGGCCAAACGGAGGATGAACACTCTAATAGACATGGGCTGCTTTGAAATTTTATGGCCTGGAAAATCCAGGCCAATACTACCGCCTCCACAGCCTGCTCTCCCTAGGGTCAGGTGACTCCCTGTTCCCCTCCCCCACCGATTGTCGTCCCCCCCCCCAACTTCAGGGAACCAGGCTTTCTCTATTCCCTAGTGGTTTGGCAAGCCCCCCTCCTTTGGTTTTATGGCTCTGAACAGAAGGGGTGGGGGAGACTGGTTTATTGGCAGATGGGTCATAAAAAGCTGGGGGCTGCGGGAAATCCTAGTGGTCCACCCCCATGGTAGAGGTACCCAGGTGTACATCTGGACGGTTGAGTGCCTGGCATTGCCACCCAGTTTCTGCAGAATTCAACTCCAACTTGGTCAGGCTTGTAAAGAAAACTCAAAGAACCAGGAAATTTGTGTGTTTGTGTGTGTGTGTGTGTGTGTGTGTGTGTGTGTGTGTGTGAGAGAGAGAGAGAGAGAGAGAGAGAGAGAGAGAGAGAGAGAGAAGAGGGCATGGAGATCTGATTTGGGTTCTCAGTCTCCCATGTTCTTAATGCTTCTACTTTTGGAAACCAGTCTGAGATTGAATAGGGCAGGGATGGGGAAAGGATTCTACCTAGAAAACAGTTGTAGAGAAATTATGAATGATCTAAAATTTTCCTATTCTGGTCTGTGTGATGTAAAGTGTGTGTTTCCAGGGTGAGTGGCCTAGCTGTGGGCTTCCTGTTGCCCTTCACTCCCTTAACCAAAAGGCTTGAGCCCAGAATTAACTCTGGTAGGGGAGAGCAGCAGCAAGTGAAGGGACTCAATACCTAAACTGGGCAGTAGAGGTTAGCCTGGGGGCGGGAGTGCACCAGCAGATGAGGCTGGGGTCTCACCCTAACTTCCATTTTAATGCCACTCCAGGACTTTAGGTAATCCAGGAACTGGGTTTCAAACCAGGTATTGTACTTCCCCTTTAAGAGTGTTGCTGCGACCTTAAGAGAGGGAGGGGGAGTAGAGGGGAGGGGAGGGAGAGAGAGAGGGGAAAAGGAAAAAGAGACTTTTATAGTCTAATCCCCAGGGACCCGCTTTAATAAGAGACTTGTGCTCTGCTAATCGGGGGAGGTGTTTGTCAGCAGAGATGGCCTCTGCTCCCCTCCCCCTCCTCCCCTCCCCCAGCCAACCCCGGACCCCAGCCCCCACCTTTCCGAGGCGGTTCTGCCTGCCCTAGTTCCCTCTACCCTCTCACTCTCCCACCCCAGTCTTCATCCCCGGGAACCCAGCCCCCTGCTCTTCTGGGAGCCAAGCCCAGCCCCTCAGTTTGTCTCTCCTGAGCTCGCTCAGAGGCCCCTGCCCTCTCGCCCAACCTCCTGCCCCTGGGCCATCCAGCCTGAGTTGAGAGAGAGAGTGAGTGGTGGGGTGGAGGCTGTTAGCAGAGAGGGGGCTGGGCTTTTGCTGAAAATAGTGCAATGACCTCTCTCCCCCATCAGCACCGCCTACTAAACCTGACCTGCTGCCTGCCACCAACCAAATCAATCCAACACAGATGTGGCCCCTTCCCCTCCCCACCAGAGCTGGGCCTAAATGGGTGTTGGGGACTCTCAAGTCCTTTCCCTCTGTAGCTTTACCTGCTTCTTTGTTCCTTCTGCACCTTATCATCTCTACCCCTTGAGGTTTGACTCTCTCCTACCTTTGCCCTCTTAACCCCTGCCACTCCAGTCGAGCCCACCCAGTATTCTCCATCTCCCAAACATGTCCTCTCTTTACTGCAGCCCTCTAGCCTGCCTTCAGTCTCTTCATTCTTACTATCTCCAACCTCTCCCTTCCCTACAGCTTGTCTCTTAGAAACATTGACTGTCTGCATGTGCACAGCACATATGTGGAGAGCTAGAGGAACCAGACTTGAGAGGGAAATCGCATCACCCTGTCCCAGCTTTAAGCGGGCTGCTTAGTTTATGAAGTGAACATCTATGGAGGAGCTATTATTATTTGTCACATTCTTTATTTAATGCACAGAATTGTCTGTATCGCACTGGGGAGTATGGTGGGTAAGGTTAGATACGGGGCGGCAAGCCAGGCAATGGTTAAACTGACTTTGGTTGCTGCCAGGGAAGAGTCTAAGAACCTCACATTCAGCATATGGCATTATGGCAGGCGCAGGAACTACAGTGATGGCAAAACAGGCTCAAGACAAGTATAGACCCTCAGAGGAATAAGTCTCTGATGGCAAGAAACAGATAATTCTACCTGGACCTGGTGGTGCCTGCATGGAATCCCAGCTACTCAGGAGACTGAGTCAGGAATTTCTGAAGTTCAAAGTATAGAGCTCAAAGCCAGCCTGGGCAACTCTGTCTCAAAATAGAGACAGGGAATGTAGCCTAGTGGTGGAGTGCTTGCCTGCAGGTGTGAGGCCCTAGGTTTGTTCCCCAGTAACACATATACATGCACACACAAATCTCCATACTGCAAGTAGATGGGATATACATTTGGATGCTTGTCACTCTGACTGCCCTCCAAACCTCTGAACCTTCACTCCTCATCCCTACTCTACTTGACGGGAGCAGATACTGGAAGAACAAAGGGGAAAGACGCTGCAGAAGGACATGGGGTGTCGTGTTCTAAGTATTTAGTCATTAAGTACTTTCTCCCTCACCACATTTGGAGAATCCTCTTACTGGGGTGATGGGGAGCTAACCCGAGACAACAGATGTTACGTTCTCCATGACTGTACAGGTGGTAATTCTTGGGTGTGACAGGTAAGGGCCTAGACAGCACCAAACTTACATGGCCCTGGAAAACCCTCACTGCATTCTTCCTATCTACAGTGAGAATGGGTATGCCTGGCCAAAGGACACATAACTTAGGGCATCTCTAACACACTTAGGTGGTTAGGGAGAGCTGGGCATCACGGTACATACTGTAATCTCTAACACACTTAGGTGGTTAGGGAGAGCTCAGCATCATAGTGCATACTGTAATCTCAGCACTTGGGAAGATGAGATTGGAGGACTGCTGTGAGCTGAGGCTAGTGAGTTCCAGAACAGCCATGGATACATGGCAAAACTGCCTCAAAACAACAAAGACTGAAAGAGTTTAAGGAAAACTGAGGAGGGAGCTGGAACAGAAGCAAAGGGATGAATTGAGAACCATCAGTGAGAAGTTGGGACAAGGAGCCTTCGTAAAGACTTAGAGGCACTGGACTGAGTAACCAGAGGGAGCTCAAGGGTAGAAAGATGACTGCTTATAGTTGCCTTGGTGTGTTAAGTATTATTTCTGGTGCTCTGAACGAGCAGGACACTCCACAGTTTCCTCCCTCCAGCAGCTGAGATGAGGAAGCAGCAGTGGAGAGAGGAATGCCTGGTAGTTCTATTCTGGAAGGTGTGCTACTGCAAATAGGGAGCCTAGATCTGATTTCTGGTTTACTTTATAAATTTAGCCCACACTCCATCTCTCTGAACGCTGGGTTATTTCCTCTGATTCCTCTTTTTGCTTTTTTTGGGGGGTGAAGGGGGCTGCCAGGTTCCACCTGCTGACGAGACAAACCAGGGCAAGGTAACTTGTAGACAGCGGTAGCTTCTATGAAGAACAGTAAAGACTCAGAAAGAGCTAGAGACTAACTGAGAAGCACAGAGGCCAAGAAGCCTTCAGATGGAGGGAGACTAAGCAAGCAAGCACCTTAGCGGGTCATTTGGTAGATAGATCCTCTGTGTTAGGAGAAATGGTAGAGAGGGTGGGTATAGATTGGTAGGGCCTAACAAATTTATTATCCTATAGATGAGACAATTTTAGGCACCAGAGACATACTAGCTAACAAGATAGGAACAGGAGAAGGGTAAAGAAGAATGGAAGACAGGCTGAGAAGAATCTGCTAAAGCCACCACAGCTGCTAAACCCCTCCACAAACACTCTTTGCTGATGCTGTACCCCCTTCTCTCTTATCAGCGGACCCTGCAGTGCAGACAGATGGCAGCCCTCTCTGTTGCCATTTCCACTTCAGCCCCAAGGTGATGTTCACAAAGGTACTGAAGGCCCAGCTGTGGGTGTACCTTCGGCCTGTGCCCCGCCCAGCCACAGTCTACCTGCAGATCTTGCGACTGAAACCCCTAACTGGGGAAGGGACCGCAGGGGGAGGGGGTGGAGGCCGGCGTCACATCCGTATCCGTTCACTAAAGATTGAGCTCCATTCACGGTCCGGCCACTGGCAGAGCATCGACTTCAAGCAAGTGCTACACAGCTGGTTTCGCCAGCCACAGAGCAACTGGGGCATCGAGATCAACGCCTTTGATCCCAGTGGCACAGACCTGGCTGTCACTTCCCTTGGGCCAGGAGCTGAGGGGCTGGTGAGCAGGGGGCCTGAAGTGGTGGTGGATATGTGTAACCTGTCCCCAGGAGATGGGGGTTAGAAAAAGTAGATCAGGAATGTGGGGGTTGGGGCCAGAAACTAATTCCAGAGGAGGTGGAGGTGGGGTGGCAAACTATCACTTTTCGGGGATTTAAGCCAGGTAACAGCTGAAAACTGAAACTGGATTTGGGGTGAGGGTGTCAGTTAGTGGGAGACCCGTGGGAACACAAAACTGACCCTTGTCTGGGTGTGGTGTTGTCTAATCCTGTCACCAGGGAGGCCAGACAGGAGGATCAGGAGTTCTAGACCATTTTCTGCTACATAGAAAATTTGAGGTCAGCCTGAGCTATGTAAGATTCCACCTTGAATCAAAACTAAAGAACCTGGCCATTGATGATGAGGATCTGATGAGGTCACACTGCCAGGAAAGGAAGAATTAAGGAACATGAGCAGAAGAGATAGCTAGATGGCAAGAGAATTGGGTAGGTCTGTCGGTGGGAACAATGAACAAGTCAAGATGTCAGTGGTTTTTGATCTGATGCCCCTGTTGAGATGCAGGTAGGAAAATAAGAGAAACTGTTCAGGGCTATGTCACATCTCTTTCCCCTCTCCCTGACCCTCAGCATCCTTTCATGGAGCTTCGAGTCCTAGAGAACACAAAAAGGTCCCGGCGGAACCTAGGCCTGGACTGCGATGAACACTCGAGTGAGTCCCGCTGCTGCCGATACCCTCTCACGGTGGACTTTGAGGCTTTTGGCTGGGACTGGATCATCGCACCTAAACGCTACAAGGCCAACTACTGCTCCGGCCAGTGCGAGTACATGTTCATGCAAAAATATCCACACACCCACTTGGTGCAACAGGCCAATCCAAGAGGCTCCGCTGGGCCCTGCTGCACCCCTACCAAGATGTCCCCAATCAACATGCTCTACTTCAATGACAAGCAGCAGATTATCTACGGCAAGATCCCTGGCATGGTGGTGGATCGCTGTGGCTGCTCCTAAGGTGTGGGCTACAGTGGATGCCTCCCTCATAGACCCTCCCCCAAGACCCCAGCCCTGGTCCCCATTCCCCCAAGCCCTAGAGTGCCCTCCACCTCTTCCCATGAACATCACACCTTGTTCCCTGACCAAGCAGTGTGCAATACAACAGAGGGAGGCAGGTGGGGATGGAAGGTGAGGGGCTGGGGGAAAGGAAGGGCAGTCAGAGTGGACTGTACCTGAGATTTGCAGGTGAGAAGGCTTGGCAAGAAGACGAGATGTAGAGACAGAGGAGCAAACAGAGCAACACTGAGAAGGCAAAGGAATAGAGGCTAAAGACAGACAAGGAGAAAGAGACTGAAATGGGAGTAAAATGAAAGCCCTGCCCCAAGCCTCCTTTCTTCTACCAGCAAGGTGAGGCTTGATATAGATTGGGGAGTTCCCCTGACAACTCAGTAGGAGTAAATCAGAAGTCCATTCTTAGCTTCTTCCCTCTCTCCTTCCAACAGTAGCCAGAAGTGAAATAAGGATGGGGCAAAGGAAGGACCTGGGAATTTTTTTATTTATTTATTTATTATGACTTTTTTTTTTTTTTTGGTATTTGGCTTTACTGGAATAGGAGGGACCCTGCCCACTGTGCCCCATTGGTCCCTTACTCCCCAAACCCTGCTCTCCCCAACACCAACCTCCTTAAGCACTTGTATTAAGCCTCCAGGGTTGGGAATGGGAGTAAAGGGCAAGAGGGTGGACACATGGAAGCTTTGAACCCATAATCACCCTAACCAACCTTCTTGAGCCAAACGGGTTGAGCTGAGTGGTCATGGAAACAGAAAAAGTTCAGACTTAAGAGCTGGGGGGAGGGGAACCTCAACACCCAGATCTATGAGAGCTACTAAACTACCCCTCAGGCCTACCTTAGTTGTGGTACTATTAGCCAGAGGGCACAGCCTGCTTATCCCCCAATCCCCCTCAGCCAAGAGACCAAAGAGCCTGTGGAATGTCCCTGCTCTCAGCCTCTATCTTCAGGTCAATAAAAATTAGAGATCCCAGAGTCCCCCCAGGTCTGGGAAGGGTTAAGGGTCAAAAAAATAGTAACGAGGCTGAAGGTTATAGGGCATCTGAATCCAAATCACTACTCTAGGCTAGGGAGTACAGCCAGCAGACCAAGTGGATGGGATTCTGAAGGGGACATTTTAGTCCCCAACCCCAAAGCTCAGGGTGGAAGAAGGGAGAACAAGGGAGAAGAGTGTCTATAACTTTATCTTTTATTTTTGGAATATAGCAGTACCTGACAGCAGGGGTGGGGCAGTACAGGCATGTGACAAGGCCAGATACAGCAGAGGATGGGAGGATGGAGAAGCCTTGGTTTGGAAGGCTTAGGAGGCAGGCAAGCGATTAGCTGCCACTTCAAGTCACTACCTGGGCCCATTCATTCCTCCCACAATCCGACCCACCCTCCTCTGGACTCACTGTGCCTCAGTTTCTTCCCCTTGATGGAATGAGAAACAGCAGCACCCGCCACAGCCAAGAGATGAATTCTGAGCACTTACCACGGGCACTTTATGGACATAAAATACCTCTCGCTGTGGGACTAGATAACCAGGGCACCACAATGGTGGTGACGAGACGTGAGGCTCAAAGGAGTCAGGCTTCAGAGCACAAGGACCCTCTGCCTCCCAGCTGGACAATGCCTGAAGCCAAGGAGTTGAAATCTCCACACCCTAACCATACCTCACCTGTGGCCTCTTGGCTCCAGACAAGATCTTGAGAGGATGGGGGAAGAGGGGAAGATTACAGCAACATGATCATGAGTAGAGCCAGACATGACGTAGAAAAGTACTGAACCGAGGTCTGTGCTTCCTGAGATCATGCTTCTCTCACTTGGGCCAGACCATAGGAAGGACAAAGGTGTGTGACTATCCTTGGTACCTAACTCCTATCTCACAGAGAAAAGGAGATGTCTCCTACAAGGAATGGACAAGGCTGTCAAGCCTTTCAACTCACTTCCCATGTAGTAGCTGTTAGTCCCAAGCCTCTCTCTGGTCCTGTTCTTCATCTCTTTTTCTACCCCATCTTAAAGAACAAGATGCATTTGACCATCACCACCAACCACACTTCTTGGTGGAGGAGAGCAATAGAAGGCAGCGAGAAGATTCTTTCCTCCAAGGTCAAATGTCTGTTGATCTTGGGAAAGGTAAGGGTCGGATCATTAGGTTATCAGGTAAACTTCTCTATTATAGTTTAGAGAGCTGGGGCATTAAACTTCAACTACTGCCTCTTTATCACCACCAACTAAATACCTTTCCAGGGGGAAAAGGTTCTCTTATGAATACAAACCTGAGTTAAGCCTCAGTTTCCTGGTCTTTTCTATCCCCTAAGAGGCTTGAGGACATGGCCTAGCAATTCAGCGGGAGCTGGCACTTCCCACACCTTACCTGTGTGGACTAGCCAGTGCTCCTCTGAAAGTGTCATTATTAGTGTAATTCTTAACTTTGTGTATCTGTTACATCATGTGTGTGATTGCCTTTGTTTGTTAAGGGTGTTTGAGGAGTATGGGCTGACAGAGGCACTGGAATGCCAGGAAAGGACTTCTTCACTGACATCAAGGTTTAGGAAGGAACCATTGCAAAAGGCCATCAGGCAGTTTTCAAGTTATGTGACAGAGGGCAAAGATGGCCATAGGGTGCTCTGAGTTTTGGAATGGTCACATGACACAATCCAGCACTTGAACCTGAAAAAAGAAAAATAAAAGCAGTCAAAGAGTTTAGAATTCAGTGGTGAGCTCTTCTCCCTAACTGAGCGTCACGTTTGCACCCGCGAGACTAAGAACAACGGACTCATGAGTTCACTGAGGGCACTGGGAAAGGGAGATGACTTAAGAGTTCTTCAGCCGGGCGATGGTGGCACACGCCTTTAATCCCAGCACTCCGGAGGCAGAGGCAGGCGGATCTCTGTGAGTTCGAGACCAGCCTGGTCTACAGAGCTAGTTCTAGGACAGGCTCCAAAGCCACAGAGAAACCCTGTCTGGGGGGGGGGGGGGAAAGAGTTCTTCAGAGAGCTGGACATAAAATAGTCCCAAAGATCACAAAACACCTACTTGCACAGAATGAAAAGTCTAGGTTCTAAAATAGTCTGACAGAGTCCTCCAATCCTGGCTGCCTTAAGAGTATTCCCAAAATCAAGCTGGCAGCTCCCCACCATAGTTCTGTGTTCCAAACATTGAATCCACTATAAAAACTCCCACGTGCCCACAGCATAATTCCTAAGACATTAATCTTGCTTGAGTCACAGATCCAATGTGCCACCTGGCTTTCCTGCCAATGAGCTAGACTATGGGGGGGGGGTCTCTTGGTCTCACATATATGTGCCCCCTAAAGGAGCCAGACTGCATTTATATACACGAAGGCCCAGATCACGCCACTCACCACCCAACCCCCATTCTCTAGCTGGAACCTGCTTGTCCAGGTGTGTGTGTGGGGGGGGGGGGGGAGATGTCCCCATTTATCCTAGATCTCAATTTTACTTTGGTAGACTTCAGGGCTAATACTATATAAACTCCATCAGGAATGTGTGCTGAGCACACGATAACATCACTGAATTCTCACTGCAGCCCTCAGAATAGTTTGGAAACAGTCACAGAGCAATTAAGTAACTTGCCAAATCAGGATCCAGAAGTAGTAAGGTAGAACAAGGAATCAAAGCCGGGTAGTTAACACGCAATAACAAGTTTTAATCTATTTAATCTGTTGTTAAATTAAGGTGGAAAACTGAATTCAGGGACAACAGAAGTGAGAAAGCTGAGAAACACCTTGGGTCCAAAGGGCTGGATGAGTGTGGAACTTTTTCCAGTGTCTTTCAGCTTACGGATGGGAATGTGCATGGAGTTCCTGCCCAGCACCACACAAAACCAGGCATGCTGGCACAAGCATGTAATCCAAGCCCTTGGGAGGGAGAAGCAGAAAGATCCTGAAATTCAAGGCCACCCTCAGCTTGCTTCATAGCTCATTTGAAGTCACCCTGGGCTATAAGATATAAGAGACTTTGCCTCAAGAAGGGAGGTTAGATTTTGGAGGCATTATAAGTGCCCCTGTCGGAGGCCTTGTACAAGAGAGCAGTTAAGAAAAACTTATCCGTGAGTCTGGGACCAGCCTGGTCTAAAGAGCTAAGTCTAGGATAGCGAAGACTACACAAAGAAACCCTGTCTAACCCTGCCCCCTAGAAAGAAAGAAAGAAAGAAAGAAAGAAAGAAAGAAAGAAAGAAGGGAGGGAGGGAGGGAGGGAGGGAGGGAGGGAGGGAGGGAGGAAGGAGAAAGAAAGAAAGAAAGAAAGAAAGAAAGAAAGAAAGAAAGAAAAAGAAAAAGAAAAGAAAGAAAAGAAAGAAAAGAAAGGAAGGAGAAAAGAAGAAAAGAAAAACTTATCCTAGCTGGAATGGTCCCAGCACTCAGGAGGTAGAGGCAGGTAGATCTCTGAGTTCCTGGCCAGTCTGGTCTACAGAGTGAATTTCAGGACAGGACAGTCAAGGCTACACAAACCCTGTCTCAAAAAAAAAAAAAAAAAAAAAAAAGCCATCCTATGTCAACTATCTGATTTTCCTCCGTTTCTCATGTCAACTAACAAGTCTCAAAGACTAAGAAATTCTGCTTTCATACCTTCCTTCTTCCTAAAGTCTTCACCCCAAAGCTTCCAGCCTTTTTGCTTTCAGCCATTCTCAGGGCGGACAGAACCATAAAAAGGTACAGCGTCACAGCTAAGGGCTCCAGTCCTTACTGTGGCTATAGCACTGACCAAATCCCTTAAGAACTCCAGGGGAATGTTGATGCTGCACCAACTGGGGGATGAAGAGCAGTGCTTGGGCCCCAATCCTAGAGGACTGTCTAGTCAAACAGACGGACTTAGGCTCTAATGAGTAAAAACATAGGCATTGTGATCTATTCATGCTCACTGTGCAGAATGACTAAAAGGACACAACAGGATGCTCAGGCTCAGAAGTTAAGAGAATCCTCTGGCCAATGTATGAACAGCTGGAGAAATGGAACAAAAAGGGTTAATTAAAAGGAAAAAACACCACTACACATTTGGGAAGCACCATAAAAGATTTGGGAAAAGCCAAGAACAGTGGTGCACACCTTTAATTGAGGTGGATGGACCTCTGTGAGTTTGAGGCAGGTCAGGGGTACAAAATCAGACTCTGGGTTTTGGTTTAAGATTTGGGTAAAGCAAACTAAGTAAAGACAATGATTATACCTTAAAAGAAGAGGACCTGGGATTAGTAAGTAAATGCCTGCTGCTCAAGTATAAAGACCCTGAGTTTGGACTCCTAGTTCTCACATTAAAAAAAAAAAAAAAAAAAAACCAGGTCTAGTAGTATTGTCTGTAACTACAGAACTGGAGGTTAGAGACAGGTGGATCATTGGAAATTATTGGCCAGCCAGTGTAGCTAAATCAATGAGCTACAGATTCAGTAAGGGGTCCTGTCTCAATAAATTAATGGTGATCAATCGAGGAAGAAACCTGATTGGACTACTAGCTTCAACAGGCACACATATATACGTCACATGCACATAAAAGTACAACCATAAAAGAATCTTAGCCAGGCATGGTAGAAATCCCACCACTACAAATAATCCTAGCACTCAGGAGGCTGAAGCTGAAGAATGCTGTGAATTTAGAACCAGCCTGGGCTACAAAGTGAGATACTACCTCAAAAATGAGGGGTAGGAGAGATCAGAGAGAATCTGAGGCTAAATTGAGTGTGTCTCTGCAAGGTTATGGAGGATAAACAGATTAAGATCAGAGCCGGGCTGTGGTGGTGCACACCTCTGATCCCAGAGCATAAAGGGTAGCAAATCTCTGAGTTCAAGGCCGGCCTGGTCTACAGAGCGAGTTCCAGGGCAGTCAGGTCAACACAGAGAAACTCTATATCGGAAAATAAATAAACAAACAAACACACCAAAAAACAAGCAAGCAAACAAAAACAAAAGCAAAAACACAGATACCAGGAGTGACTTTAATAGCAACATTGAGGATACAGGGGCAGGTATATTTCTGTGAATTAGAGGCCAGCCTTGTCCATGTAGGGACTTACAGGATAGCCAGAGCTACCTCACAGAGACAATCTATCCCAAAAATAAATAAATAAAGCTGGGCGGTGGTGGTGCACACCTTTAATAGCAGCACTCAGGAGGCAGAGGCAGGCAGGTCTCTTGAGTTTGGTCTACAGAACAGGTTCCAGAACAGCTAGGGCTGTTACACAGAGAAACCCTGTCTTCAAAATAAAAAAACAATAACCAACCCCCCCCCCAAATTAAAAGACCCATATTGCTACATTATATTATTTACATCAACTTTATTTCTTCAATATTTATTTATTTATAATCATTCTGAGATATAAATCCTAATGAACCTATACTCTTAATACAAAACAGCAATTTTCTGGTTTTCAGATGAAGATACTGTGGAGAGGAAAAAATTAACTGGAGATTACAGTCTTGTGTAAAAAAGGGGGTGGGGCCGGCAGAAGAGAATGATGGGAAGAGAACCTCATCCAATTACATCATTTGGCTGAGGAGGTGACAAATTATACTAAATGGGTAACCTTGGCTCTGTTCACCATGGTGCCACTGAAGTTTTCCTCAAGTGTCTAAACTTAGGTTCCCACCTTTCTTAGGAGGCAGACTGATGCAGGAGCCAGCTGGCCTTCAATCTGCAGTGCTCCATGGCACAAGACTGTAATGTTAGCAGGGTGAACTCTCAATTAATCACAAAACCAGCCGGGTTTTGGTGGAAATGAGGACGAGGATTTACATCACAGCAACATAAGGTTTAATTATGTCAGCAAAGTTTTCAAGTAAGGTAACTTTCATGATCTTCCCAAAGAAATCTCCAAAACCAAGCATTTATTGATCTGGAAATATAGAGACTGATATGAGAAACCCATGCAGGTGTGGTGGTGTCTGATTGTAATCACAGTTCTAAGGCTAACTCAAGGCCTCCTGGTCGACACAGCGGGTCTCAGGCCAGGAAGGAAAAAAAAGGATGTAGGGAGGGGACTTCTATTAACTTATCAAAAAGGCTAAGTAGCAGGTTTCAGATCTACATATAACTTAGAGAAACAAGCAGTCTGCTTAGACAACCAAATGATTTCCAGAAAGGAAAGGAAATTTTAGTGATATCTAAGGCATCACTGCTGTGGCTGCAATAGCATTCTGCAACAGAAGAGGACAAACTAACCCAGAAGCCCCACTACAAAGTGCAGGCATGGCTGGGACCACTGTAAAGTGCTTACCCAGCAGATACAAGGCCAAGTTTGATCCCCAGTACTGAGATAGGGGAGCAAAGGAAAACCAGGCATCTTGTTCTGCATATGGCCCAATGACCTAGGTAACAATACATAATATCTCTGACACAGTCATGCTTTGGATTTCTATTCTCCTACCCAAGGACTGGCCAGCCCATTTGCCTTCTTGAGCTCCCATACACTGACTTCTGCTCTAACCAGAGAGTACCATGTCAGACCATTTGGATCCTACTTTATTCAGCCAAGCTTAACTTAAAGCAGAAGACTATCAGTCACTCTTTACATTCCCTAAAATCTCCCGCACTTCCTCCATATCATCTCAAGGGGTTATGTCAACCTCTACTTATTTATTTATTTGCTCTTTCAAGACAGAGTTTCTCTATGTAGCCCTCTAGGTAGCTCTATGTTCTGGAGCTCACTTTGTAGACCAGGCTGGCCTTGAATTCCGAGATCCACCTGCTTATGCCTCCTGAGTGCTGGGATTAGAAACAGGTGCCACCAACACCTGGCTATTTCAAGCTTTGGGGGACTTGGCCTCATCATGAAAAATAAATAAAAGCATATCTCTGAGTATGAAGAAAAGAAAGAAGCTTAAAAGGTAGGCTCCATCTTCTTATCTTCTTTCCTAGGGGATAAAGGCATTGCAGTTAATTCCCCCTAATATTTGCCACTGACATGCCCTGTGTGGTCTAATCTGGCTCTAGGAATTTAAAGGAGCACCTAATAAAACACGTGTTCTTTTCTTTCTCTTTTTATTAATAACCAAAATAATTAAAAACAAAAATATAACAACCTTAATGCAGAGTAGCAGTTAAATCAAACTGCTGCTGGAATTTAAGGATGTACCTATCTAAGGCACACACTTCCTCACTGTGAGGCACATGACTGTGTGTAGGGTGTGTGTATAAAAACCAACAAGAGTTGGAGACATGGAAACCACTATGGGGCAGAAAGCATGGACTTTTCATTATGCAATCCCAAAACGCTCTGCTCTTTTCCTTTTCTTGGCCTGAAATGAAAAAGCAAGAAAAAAATTAGATTGCAAGACAACAGCAAGATTAAGCTTCTGTCAGCTTTAACCCAAACCCACAATAACTGTCAAAAGGCCCAAGAAGAGATAACCACTGACTTCAAGCCAGAGACTTTATTCCTGAATCCCTCCAGCTATCCAGTCAGAAATAGGGAGGTTTTGTGAAAAAGAAAGGTGAGAAATGAAGACAAAACACACCCATACACATAACATAAAAACAAAGGTTGAACAAACAAAATATAACATAAAAATAAAGGTTAAATAAATAGGGTGTGAGGTGGGAAAACAACCAAGGGAAAATGGAGAAGGAAAGAGTGGCAGAAAATGCAAGATTTCAGTGGACAACGGTGAGCAATACTATCCACGGAGCAGCTACAATGAGGCAGTAACTATGTCTTAGGCCTCTAGCTCACAGAGAAGTTGACTCTTCAATGCAGAAAGAGAAAGTTGGAGAAGGAAGGGTGTTTGCAAGAAAGTCCTTCTTATGGATCTCCCTCCCCCCAAATTTGGTTTTTCAAGAACTGGTCTTGAACTCAAGAGATCCTCCTGCCTCTGCCTTCTTAGTGCTAGGATTAAAGATGCGCACAACCATTACCAGTAGCCTCAAACACGTGTTCCTCTTGCCTCGGCCACCAAATCCTACCAGCATGCTCCACTACAACCGGTTTGCTTTTTTTTTTTTTTAATGGAGTCTTTCCCCTCATGTCTGAATATTCTTTAGCAGATTTCATCTTGTAAAGTGGTACTGTGATGCCTCTAAGCATAACCTAACATAACATAACTGGTAGCCTAGTTACTTTCAGGTATCTACTTAACTACCAGTGTCATATGGGGACTACAATGGGGCTCAGAAGTTATGTATATTATGCAACTCTTAAAGA